GCTCTCTCAGTATATCGAGTTTGCTTTTGGGGAAGGTGATAGGATTCTTCGTGGAGGTGGAGGACTCCAAGCAGACCCTCGCTTGCTTGAGACTACTCTTTTTAAGGCAGCTGACAATGCAACAGTAATGCGACATGCAAAAGAACTTATCAACAAGAGCAGACCAGATATCAATATATCAACTTCGTGTTTATACACGTATACAATGAACTATCGCAAAGGAACTAATCAAGCAAAACGCCATCACCACGGAAGGGGAGTAAATGCTAACGTATCTCTGCATAAAGCGCCTAATACATCACAATCTGTATACCCCATCAACTCCCATTGGTCTTCTTCAAATGTTAATTTTCTTGTCGATTCTGCATCAGAAGATAAAAGTGGTATGCTTCTCGATTCTAAGGACGCAAAGTGTATTGTGTGTGGTGATATTGCACCTGTGTTAAAGCCAGGKAAAAYCTGGTCAAATTTTGAAACTCCTGATCATAGTTTTGACCAATCTCGAGTTAATGCAGTGACACCAATGACGCATCTTTTCATGGACATACCCAGACTTGAATGTAATAACGCTGATTTGCTGATCCCAGGAACGGATTGTGTTGTGAATGTTACAAGAACGGGCAAAGCAGTAACTTTGATAAATGTTTCTTTATATGAACCAGAGACTGTTTTCCGTGTTTTTAATGAAATTTTCTACTTGATGACCATCCCTTCTCTTGATAAATATTTTCGAAACAAAGATACTGGAAAACTAAAGCATATAATGGGTTTCATAGTTGACAATGGTCCTTCTGAAGCCCCATCCAATTTACTGGTCMAGATGCTCCTTGTCCGGTTAGTAAAATTCCTAGACCTTGATAAAGTAACACAAAGATCTTTTGCCGAKTACCTAAGTAAACGTAACTTTGTTGAGAGGGTCCACGCCATAGAAAACAAAGTTTTATCAGCTCATGGACCCTTTTCTTYAAAAATGATCCATGCCAACCCACTTCCAGGWAGCAGCGAACATAAAGAGAACATGGAAAGTATGGCAAAAGAAGTAGTCAAATGCATCAGTACAAGAATATATAATAAGGAGGCAATACAATCCTTTCGAGGGGTTGGTTCTGTGGAACAGTTTGTATTTAAAGATGAAGAAAGTCTTAAGTCTTTCTGCTTGCTAAGCGAAAAGCAAAAGGAAGAAGATGAAACTWAGTRCCACGCAAACGACAGTAACAGTCTAAGATATCTTGAAACCGTTTGGGGAGTACATAAAAATTACTCTGGGAGCTATAGAGAAGACTACAACACATTGGCAAATTTTTCATTCAAGGATAAGTACAGTACGACGGTGTTTAGAGAAGATAACAATTGKCATGGAARAAAGCTGGAGAGATTTSATCGACAACCACTACCGGACTATAAACGCTGGAAAGAAACGGRTGAACTGCACTACATGTCATATGAGGAGCGACGCGATCTACCAGAAGGACCTTGGGATACGTGTCCTGGTTTTTTTATGCCCGAAAGGATCTTGGACACTTGTTTTAGAAGTAACCCAAATCCATCCCAAGAAGAAATGAAGTCAATAGCATTTTTGGCCTGGGTAACCATTCAGGAAGYAGWGACRTACTTTGAAAAAGTTGAAAAACAACTAAAAGAACAAAAAGAAGAAGATTTGAAACGAGAAGCATGGAAATTGCACCCATTGTACAAAGAAAGTAAAACTTCTTTGGTAGACATTTGTCATGAGGCCAATTTGATCACTGTCGGGAAGAAATTCGAATTGATTGAGAGGATCGTCGAAAGCGGCCAAAGTGATAAATACGGCCATCCTCCGAAAATAACTGAAGAAGACCTATACAATGGCAAAATCCCAAATTCAACCACAGGTTTGATGAAACTGTCTGTGGMGCAGTTGAGAGCTATGCTACGGAAGCATGGTGTACTAGAAATTGGAACAAAGGAGGAATTAATTGCAAGAGCGGGGCTTTTAAAAGCTGGCCATACACAAGCAGCGTTTTCTAGAGAGCGTCTGTGTATACTCCACTATATTTCAATGGCAAAGAAGATTGCAAAATTGCAAACAAAAAACAAAGGAATCCCATATTTATCGTGTACGAACAWTTACGCAAGGTCAAAAGAACACCCTGGCAACTAGAACTTCTTGTCTGCAAGGCTTGGTGAAAAACACTATCCCCAAAATTGAGCAAGAAAAAAGTCAAGAAGAGAAGCCAGATATAATGATCATAGATAAAATGCTAGAAATGTTAGAAGATCAAGTACGGAAAAAGGAAGAAAAAGCAAGAGCTGATGTTGATGCTGTAGAAACGATTTCAACAGTAAATAAAATAGAAAAAATAAAACCAAGGAAACAAGAAAAATCTGCAGAATCACCAACTCATAAAAAAGAAAGTAAAGATGTTAGACGCTCTGGAAGAAAARGGAAACAGGCGGCTAAATTAATAGAAGCAACGGAAGAGCAATCASCTAATGAGATAACGAATGTAGGAGCAGTCATAGATGTATTGTGGACAGAAAAAGATTTAAYAGGGACGAACTGGAAACCTGGGTGGTATCGAGGAGAAGTGCAAAGCTACGATGAAGACAATGATTCCATTGACATTTTATACTATAAAGATAAAGCTGTCTTTAKCCTTGATGCTAGTAATTCGTTTGCGGATGGAATTATTCGATTAGTTCGCGCTTAGACAATTTTCATAATAAAATCCAACATAGAATACAAACACTAAATGTTTGCTATAGACTATTTACTTTGTACTATTTATTACTAAACACTAATAGTTAAATTGAAAAGAATAAAATTAGCATAAAATAGCAGTATTTTACGGTTCATCGAACTYACCTGGTAAGGTGATCGCACTTACACYGTGCAACTGTACAAACTGTACAAGTCTGCAAAAAACTYGATACTTGTATTTAAAAAGAAAGAAAGGTTGAKGATAGAAAAAGGCAAAGGAATCCTTCTTTATTGAATAATTGTATATTCATTTGTGAGTCAAAGCAYGTGGTTGTTTACACTCAAGAGGACGGTTCGATATCGGCAAAAATTGACCACAAAGAAGCTTTGGAGCTTTAGGTAAAACACCAAAACCGAACATTTTAAGATTTATTATGCTGAAAAATATATTTTTAGGAGGAAAGGATTGATTTATAGATCGTAATAGAAATGCAAGTTTTTATTTAAACTACTTGCTCACGTTCCGGCCGGCGCTAGTTCTTCGGTCGGAGTCATTCCAGAGATTGTTTTACATGCATATCAAATTAATGTGGTGCTAGACTTCAATGTCCCAACTCCGCGACTTTTTTAGTTTGTTATTTCTCCTCTGTTCTTCTGGTAAGAAACACTTGATTTTGAATTGACAGGCGTAGTATTTAAATGCGTATCTTTTACGTATTGACGGAAATTCCGAGGGGGTGGGGGGTAATACCTACCTTTTAACCTTATAAAAAAATGTCAAAAATCGGAAATTCCGGGGGGGATGGGGGGTCATAAACAAAATATCCTCCGTGGTGGTGGTATGGATATTTTCTGGAACTACACAATGCTCCCTTTAGTTCTTAGCTTAACCTGCTAGCAAGAATTACTGATCGAGGCCGAGAAGGAATGGGGAGGAGTAGCGGAAAGGAACGCCTGCTTGAGGCTACTGCTTGTTTGGAATACAACGTTCGTGGGCGACCGGTGTTTCTGATTGGGTGATCCTATTAACAAGGATTGTGTGACCCCGTGACCGACTGACACATTGGCGAAGAAGTGTTCGAAAGCGTGCTAAAAGAGCTGTGGTGATTGCGATCTGTTAGCTGTTCTACCCACGGGTTTCGGGAAGACTGTGTCGAGACTATGATCTTTCAAATTCTCGTAAACKACTCGACAAGAATTACTAGCTCTTCGTCAGACATTGTCTCGCTATGTTGAACGATAGCTGTGGATGCAGTTTTCCAGCTGTAAAGGTCATTTGCTTCGCCAACTTCTGCTAATTTCATGCTCTCGCGGGATTCATTACACCGACATCTTCGTTTGGGTATAGYATTAGTTACTTGCAATTCTTGCTTATGCAAGTCATCTATAACACTAAAGATAAGTTTTAACGKAAAAATCTTTAAAAATTATTAAAAAATCTTTAAATTCTCTTTAAATGTAAGGGATTAGGAGCAAGTTTACAAATTGATATAGGCCTCCTAAGTTTTTGATTTTCCTGCACAGTGATTAAAGACTTTGTAAGATTGCTTTTTGTCGTTCAAATCTACGCTAAAACAACAAACGCCAACAGAACCTTGTCGTTGAGATGGTTTGATTAAGTTTTCAGATGATATCGATCTGTTTTATTATTCAACTCGAAAACTACAGTTGCATAACCTACAATTTTCATTCGGATCGCAAACATCGGGCATGATGTTTTGGACCGCTATGCACGTGTGGCATGTTTTGTCKAAAGTGAAATTTAACTTTCGTTATATTCCTAGGTSTAATCTCATTGGTCCACTTTTTGCATACCTAATTACGGGGGTTATTTCAAACTAACAATAGCCTCAAGCAGGCGTTCCCTTCCGTTCCTACTCCACATTCCTTCTCGGCTCTCCAGCAGGAACGCCTTTTAGCAGGCTAGTCTTAGCTTAAAATTGCGTAAACCGTTTTAAGCCCATTTACCGTTTATCCCATAAGTGGTGTTTGATTTGATTCAAGTTCGGACTTGGACGTTTCGCGGTACCTCTACATGAATCCTGGCACTTCTCATGAATACAATATTCTGAAATCCCATACCCTATTACTCTATAACCTGTTTAAGACATGGAAGACGATAGAAAGAACACCCCGAAACAGAGGCTAAAAACCATACACCTACTAGGCGGAATGACCCMGTATAATAACGAATATAGGGGAGGACCCCCGGGACGATTATGACGGTCATTCATTGTAAACTGTCTGCTTCAAACCATAAGAAACAGGTAAGYAGCAATAAATCAATGGATCTTACACAAAGCATGTATACATAAAAATGTTCTTTGATTTTCAAATGCTTTATTTATGAAATTTACAACAGCTTGTTAATTACAACAGTGCCATATCTTGCCTTAAAAATTCAATGATTCATAAAGTACTCATTGTAAAATAACCTAATCACTAATCACTTATCACTTCCACATGAGTTACTTTTTGGTGACGTTTGCTCAGACAAATAAGGTACGAAAATGCAATAATTGACTGTTCCTTATTTTCCGATCTTGGGTTGTTTTAGCTCAAGCGTTTTAGTTAATTTTTAAGCTCTAATTTATATTGTTATGTCTCGATGTGTGTTTTTTTTTTTGTACCATCTTTCCGTAAAATCAGTCATGTCCTTTATCCGCGGCAAACATTGCGGCAACGTCTGCATCTATAATAACGGCAATAAGTGCAGCAAGTGAATCCATATCTGTAATAGTGGCATTTACGACGACAACGTCGGCATCTAGCCCAGTAACAGCGTCTGTAGCAGCGACGACGACGACGACGACGACGACGTCGCCATAAACCTGGATCTATTCAATCAATATACACTTAGTTATGCATGGCTAATATTGTGTTCGCATAATTAGCACCTGGAATGATATAGGTCTTTGCATTGTTCTAGCTTTCTCGGTGGAATTAAGAACAACGTTAAACGTTTCTTGCGCTATGCGATTGGATTATCTAGGCACAAAAGGCTGGATCTGTTTCTGAATTTTGACTTGGAAAGAATGGGATTGACAACTWGTAKCCCCCCTCTGCATTACACTTGAATTTAAATTTTGACACCCCAACCTTCCCCTATCCTAGCTCGCTCTTCCCTATAGGTATTTCACAGATCTTCAATCTATAAGAGTAATCCTCAATGRCGGCGGGAAATGAAAACGTCATTATTAATGCTTACCTCTTCGTGGTTTTTCAGCCTCATCTTTCTCGGTCTCAGGCTCGGCCATTTCATTTTTGGTTTCGTCTGCAAAAAAAAATTGAAATAAGCAACAAAGGAAGCTTCGCGGCAGATGGCTCACAAGTCTTTTCATTGAGTACAAACAAATATAGATTTCAAAAAGTTACAGTGCACTGAGCTGAGGAATCTTTCATGTGTACTGCAAGAAAAACGAACAATCAACAAAAAGAACATCCACATTTGTGCAAGAAAGTTCACAGTAAAAAAAAAACTAGTCCATGCAATTACTATAAAAATAGAACTAAATAGYGTGGAGAATTCGTAAGTTTATATTAAAAAAAGATGTTTCTAAGTTCTTCTTCATATATGCGACCCGGTTTTATGCACATCACGGAGTGATCTGATCCAGTGATCTGTGCATTYGTACTACAGACCCTTATAGTGGTAGAACTGTGAGGGAATCCAATGGACACTTTGACGGAACGCGGTACGTATGTTCCCCTCGTCGTATACTACCTGCATGCATTTCTGATGAMAATTTTAAATTTCGAAAGACAAGTGCATACTCATTGATTATAATGGTCTTACCACTCAGAGATTCACTATTTTCATCTTCGTCGTTTTCAACTTTTGCCACATTGTTAACKGATTCCTCTGCAGAAAAAAGTAAATTAAATTCAACACATTTTAAAGAATAGTAATATGAGGTAATGTTACGTACCAGGATCTTCTTCGATGTCCTTTTGATCAGGCTCGTCTTGGTTCTCCTCTTCATTGGCAGGAGCAGCAAAGGTGAAGGCAACAAAGCCAAAAACAAGCAGCAAAAGAAGACTGTACTTCATCTTGATGTCAATTCGTTCGTGGTCCCCAAACTGACTGATATACGTGGAAACAACTCCTTCCTTTATAGCCGAACATGAATAATTCAWTGAWAAATCTGGCTAATTGTGCATTTAAAGGAGGGCTAATATCACCTATAATGACGGCATAGTAAATCATGAAGTTAATAACAAAATTRTCACATATTTATCTTTATTCCTTAGATTTCTACAATGTACTTCTTTCTATCCATATATAGTATTGAGGACTGCTCCGTTAGTAACGTAGTAATAAAGTAAAAGAGTTGGCTATAAGATGGACTTTTTTACTAAGCCTTCTGAGACACTATATTTGAAGTATTTGCAAGAGTTGATGTTTAACGGCACGCAAACTAAAGAATTTTCAATGCGTACAGTATCACTCATCTTAAAAAAAGTTTATGTTTTATCACTTTCAAGTTTGAACCTCCATTTTTGATTTAAACTTTTCTAACCTAGCGAATTAAAGTATAAAAGCCGGCAGCTATGATATATTGATATATTCATAAGTTATATTAGCTTAAATTCATTATCAAAATCTAAAAATATTGCTATTATATTGCTATTTTAAGCCAAGGTACGTACATGTTATAAAACTCTATTCATTGCAATCACTAGCCATGAAAACGATAAGTGTTATTCATCCACTAATGGCGGGTGTCTATTTACGGATTCTTTAAAAAAAACAGTTGCATAGTTTGAAAATGAAATAAACATTAAATTGCTTCTTGATCAAATAGAATACAATGATAATGTAGAGTAGTCACGATATAGGAAATCAATTAATAGTACCCGCACAAAGGCTCCTTTTTTTACTGACAAAGAAATTTAAATCAAAAGTGTTTTCAAAAGTGCTGATGTGTAACGGCATGCAATGGAAATATTTTTCAGTGTGAGTTAACTTGAATAACAGATAATGATTTAAAGTACCTCGATTCTGATGGATAAAAGTACTAAAAGTAGCTTTGCCATATTCATTAATTGATAAATTAGGGATTATAAGSTTTAGCTAACATCCCGATCATACTTTATTATAATACAATACCATAACAATTAAAGGCATCTATTTCAAATAGCTTCAATTACCAATCGTGAAAAAGACAAGTGTTGTTCATTAACAAGYGGTGAGTGCTTTAAGTGATTTTCTTGACAATGGACATCATCCCTAAGTGTTATTCAACAATTACATGAAATAGTATACAAAAAATAATGATGCAATAAACCGTTCAATGCATATACTGGTGTGTTTAAATCCATGACACAAATGCAACAGCAACAACAAGAACAGTAACTTCATTTTCATCAGAACATTAAGAAAACATCAYATGCATAGATCGGTATAACATAAAAGTTATTAATAGATATTTGACTTAGCTTAAAAGCTTCACTTGAACAAATTCACTCATTTTATTTTATTTAAGAAACTTAAGTTAAAAGTGTTTTCAAAAGTGCTGATGTGTAACGGCACGCAATGGAAATATTTCTCTGTGTGGGATAACTTGAATAACAGATAATGCTTTAAACTTTGTTCAAAAGTACYTCGATCCTAATGGATAAAAGTACTAAAAGTAGCTTTTGTAATATTCATTAATTAATAAATTWGGAGATTATAAGCTTGAGCTAACGTCTCAAACCATATTTTATTATAGTACAATGCTATAATTAACAATTACAGCCATTTCTTTCAATTGGCAACCGTGAAAAGACAAGTGTTGCTGATTAACAAGGTGTGAGTGCTTTAATGTAGATCGTCAAGTGTTATTGACTTCTACAGTATGGCATTATGCGTGAGTGTTATTCCAAAATTATATGAAATAGTATGCAAAAAACAATGATGCAATGATCAGTTCAATGCATATAGTGGTGTTTTGAAATGCAGCAGCAACAGCAAGAACAAGAATTTCATTTTGATCAGGAAATTAAGAAAATATCACATCCATCGATCTGTATAATATAAACGTTGCAGATATTGGACTTCGCTTAAAAGATTCACTTGAACAAATCGCCTCATTTTTTTTTAATTTTAGCAGCATCCTTCATGCGAGTCAAGGTCAGTCGATGCTTTTTTCCTGTTAGGTTTATTCATACTACTCGATATGAAAATAATTGGTAAAGGAAGCGAAGTTAGTGTCTTAAATGTAATTAAGCACAACCTTTAAGGAGGAGCGAAAAAGTTCATTGAGAAATATTCAAAAAAGTGTACTTTTTTCATAACTATAAAACATTTACTTTTAAGGTTAAGGGCTTGAGTGGATCTGAATGATCATTTGATTTTATGAATGACATCACTAATAAATATTTCAACAAAAAACATGTTGAAACTGTATTCGTGAACATTTCGAAGGGATTTGTTGAATCCAGCCGTCCAGAAGAAAAACTATCACTCTTTTGTCAAATTTTGTTTCACTGGCTTAATGACCTCACTCCAACTATGACATTGGTCAATAATATGATTTGCGAATATTATCAGTTTCAAGAGTTTTTGAAATCGTGACTGAAATTATAAGCCAGGACAAATAATGGAGGACACAAATGATATTGATGTGATTTTTTTCTTTTTATTTAGCACTAAGGCGCTGTTTTACTTATRATATTGTTAACCATGCTCACTTGCTGCTTTAGCTTCAGGAACGGCGGAGCGCCTGAGTTTCATCGCTCTTAAASAATGCTTCGTTTTTTTTTTCTCAGTAGAACTCTGTTGGCATTCCTTAGATGAGCCCTTAGTGGTGTTTTCAGAGCAATTACAATAAGATAGGCAGCTTGTTTAATAGATGCACTCAACTAAATTGCGATAACAGTTACAGGCAGTAAACATTGTATCCTGTATCGATGTTTTGATTTCTTTCTGAGGTAATGGCGGAAAAAAAAAGACTCAAAAAAATATTGGCTCAGCCTTAAGCCGTCGTGATTTCGTACGCAGTCGAGGTACTCCCTCCCTTGACGGCTGGTCGCACAGATCTAGAAACTTGTCGCGCATGTCCGTGACGTTTGTATATAAATTTTGCCTTGTGCAAAAATGACACAAATTTTGAGTCTAAGAGTTAAATGAGGTRTTTTATAGTGGGATCGGGTAAAACGGGGCCGAGATATTTAATCTTGAAGATTCTTGGTATTACAGCCTTTTGCACAAATTATGAGACATTTTTATATATATAAATATACCTAACCAAATATCAAAAACACCCCAGAAATTATGGTATATCTCTATTATATTTTGCCATGATTGCCTAGCATCAGGTTGTTACAGACAAAATATCAGAGACGGTATCCCATAATTTCTTGGGTGTTTTTGATATTTGGTTAGGTATATTTATATATATAAAAATGTCTCATAATTTGTGCAAAAGGCTGTATATGGCTTCCTGTACCAAATATAAAGTGTACAAAATCCCTGGATAAGAATTGTGTTTTCTGACGCCAAGAGAGGTTACGAGGCGTGCGCAATATATTTCTTATCCGGGACTCCTGTTTATTACATTTTCTGTTAGATGTTTCCTTGGCTCATGTGTTATAACTTCACGTTCTGTTTCATGATATGGTTTTACAATGGCTTATCGCCGTTCGGTGGAGGGTTGTAATAACGAMGGAAAGATACGATCAATACGATCAACGAAGCGAATCCAATGAAGGCAGGCAAAGATGCGTCAGCTTCATGGCTACAAGCAAGAAGTGTTCGGATTGTAGGTCAAACTGAAAGCGCTCGGGTTTGCAGTGATCACTTTTTAAAAACAGACCTCGAGTGCCGATACGTGATTTAAATCGATCTTATTCGTTATTYATAAGCAAGTTTATCAGTTTCCACAAGCATCGTCTTTATTTCAACAACTTTGCAATTTTTTCTTCTAGTTCTTTCTTTCTTCCTGTCCGGTTCATCGCAATAAGTCCCAACTATGTCGATYGCACTTAATAAAGAGCAAGTGTTTAAATAGGTCGAACTAGATGTTTACTAGACAAATGTCGTTGCCGATTTGACGTGTGAGYTTGTCAAGTTCTCAAATTCTTCTTTTAAAAATTAAAAATGTTTACTTCCGGTATTACCTCTCTTGTCGTCATTTCCGGAAATTCGTTCAAGGTTCAAAAATAAACGTCCGGCCTGCCTAAAAAATATTCTTTGAAAATCTATAAAATATTCAAGTTGTGAAGATTAACAAATTCTGACTACAGAAATGTATTCAAGATATCTTCAAGATTAGCCACAAGTTTTGCTTTGGWATGCATATAAAACCGTTGCGTCATCAAAGGTGTCTTACRTCTGCACATGAACTAAAAGTAATTTTCAGAGTCATGAGCTATTTTCGGGCTAAAGGCTTGATTTCAATTRAATTTTCTCAGTTAACAGGATTTTATTACAACCCTGCAGGGTAACATAGCTCCCGCATACCTAAGATGCAACGGAAGTCCAAGTGTTTATAGATGTCATTGATTGACAGGTTTTTGACCAATAAGATCGCTACATTTACTGCCTGGCATTTTTGGTTCTCCAAACCCTAGACCTCTGACCTTATTTTGTCGTCAGCCAGTGTGTAATATTTTTATTTTTGCCAGAAATATATCTCTTGGTATACATTTTGCCAGACAGCTCGAATTTTACTCATCAAAATGATGCCAGCAAGTACATAAATCAATAAATATTGATGTAGAGCGGATTTTGTGTAGAGTGGCTCCGTCGGACTCTCCTGTTCAAACAAATACCTGATAAAGATAAACAACGTCTGCGACTTTTAATTATCCATCAATAACAGAAAAACTAATCAAAAAGGCTCTTAACTACGCATCACAATTTACAARCATAACTGATCAAGACAAGGACATAATTATACACGCTAAAAGATCTCTTCTACACCACGACAATGCACCATGGACGAAAAAAGACACGGGTAACATAACTAATAAACATAACTTGGTATAACCCACCATGGAACGCAAACCTAAATACCAATAATGGAAAAAAGCTTCTCAACGCAGTCAACAAATGCTTCCCAATGAGAACCACCCGCTAAACAAGATCTTTAACAAGCACACCCTAAAACTCAGCTATTCCTCC